CTTGTTAATTCACCGGCACGGACCGATGCTCTCTGTACGGTGTCGTGTACAGATCCCAGGTCGTCCTGTGCGGCGAATCTCGATGGGACGGAGTGACGGATCGAGAGACAGGTGAAAACGAGTGACCTTTTCATTTGGCTAATAAGTTATGACTGAAAACTCAACCTGTTTGATGGGCTGATTCGTATTATTACTGTTTTATTTATATAAGAGAGAAATACTGCTGACGGGTATATATGAACAGTACTCGTGTGAGAGAGTTGGTCAGCCCAGCCAGCCCCAGCGATCACGTTGAGCGCTGTTAACTGATTTATTATAAAAAATAATACTTATTTTTTAAAAAAGTACGACCTATGAGCAAGAGAACCAGGCGAAGCTCCGCAGCTACCTATCGTTTGAGATCTGCCAGTAGCAACTACCAATCGCATTGCGAAGTAGTACTAGCCAGTACAGTAGCAGTACTCGGTACAATACGCCCAGCAATCCAAACGGACCGCGAGAGGCAGCTATGATTCGTCAATCATCACAGCAAGTCCAGCGGGGGGTAGTCAGACAACAACACGCTCTCGGTCAAATATCAATGCGTCTGTGCGTTCGTCGAGCTAAACTGTGGAACTTTGATGGACTTGATGAACGAAGACTTGTAGCGCTACACGCACTGTGTAGGAGGAGCACCGTATCACTGTGCCGCCGGTGCTTCAACACGTCCGAGCTTTCTCGTCTTCCGGCAATTGAAAATAAAACAGTGGACATGGCAAATGTGACGCACGGCGTGACTTTTCTTTTTTCTACACGAGCAGAGCAGGCCGGCCGGCGACCCGGCAGCGGGGTAGGTGTTGCTTGCCCCTCGTACTTAGCTCGCGTTTAGTTGGGTGAAAGTTGGAAATTTGGCTACGGTAGCACTTTTATTTTTATTTGGCAATTAGTGTTCAATCATAGACTAATTAGGCTCAAAACGTTCGTCTCGCAATTTCCAACCAAACTGTATAATTAGTTTTTTTTTCATCTACATTTAATACTTCGTGCACGTATCGCAAGATTTAATGTAATGAATGTTGTAGCACTTATTAGGAAAACTTTTCGCGAACTAAACAGCAAACAAGGGCTTAAGAGGAAGGGCATGGCCGACCAGCCGGCGCCTCAACGATTCCGTTCACATCAGTTCACGGGGCGCCTGTCAGGCCGTGACCGAGCTGAGAGAACCGAGGAGCAACAAGAGGTCCACGCGACCACGTCACGGATTCACACTGTGTCCTTGTAACGGCGGCCGGCCATGGTGGCCATGCGTGGTGCGAGCAGGGTTGGAACATGCCCTCCTGTGTCCTTGTGCTGGTGCCGTTGTGCTGATGCGCGCAAAAGCATTTGCTGAATTTATTACCGCGCCATTAAATTAGTGCAGGACCGCATGTTTCAAGGACATCACCGCAGGAGGAGGGGCATGTTCCTTTCTCACGCAAGGAGCATGCGTGCTGCACTGCATTATCCGCAACGGTCAGCTGTACTTGGTGTCTTAATGGTCAACTAGTGTGATAGACGGAGTCACCTGATGAAGCGGAAAAGCTTTTGCTATGGTTCACGTACGGTCAGAGAACGTGGCTTAGCAGGCAACACACTGACACACAGTGTGGAGGTACTAGCAGTTTGTCAGATGGAGAGTCACATTAGTCAACTCGGGCGTCAGAATATTATCCCGCGGCGGAGCCGTAGTTGACCTACTTTTACTGGGTCAAGTCCAGGCAATTTCCATTCAGAACACGTTTTTTTTTTTGCAAGAAAAGATTTTATTTATCCTTTTTGCAATATTTTTTAACCAACTTGATTCAGTGCTGGTATAAATTAGCAATGTGTACGTATCGTATAAAAACAATTTGAAGAGGTTAGCTTAAAATGGATACCGAAATCCATGATTTTTTAGCCATCGTCTCATCTTCAACATAACAGGCAGCATGCCCATAACGATTTTGCTTTAAGAAATGCTACTCCGTAGCAGCCTAACAAGGGGAATGACTTTAGATGGGCTAGAGGCCCATCTAGTGGATACACGAGACTGCTGAGGTTTCCAGCAAGACAAATAGCCTTTATAGGGATAGGCCTGATCAAAATAGAGGCCTGCATGGGCCTGCTCCGAGCTTTAATCTTCAGTATAGTCGTTTTCGCATGCCAGAAAATATGACCTAGCCTGTGGATGTCTATGCACATAGAAAAACCAAAACAACCTAAATATAAATATAGAAAGCGACAAAAGGTGATATTTTTTTTCTATCTTAACTAGTAGGCGTGATAGCTTTTAGTTACTAATTGCCTATATTATTTAGCACTGCTACTCAGAGCTTTTTCTTCTTTGCATTGTGCCTCCTCTATGTGTGTTACTTCATACGTATATGTCATTGAGAAATTGGTCACGTAGCACTAAAAGATTATGAGATTCGAAAACTACCCATGAAGTTAACTGAAAGTAGCACTCAGTTAGAATTTGTTCAACAAAAACGTATTTTTTCACGTCTTTGATAAATATAATTAGACATGAATTATGTTTATACCCTTCTGCTTACATACTAAACAAAGCATATCATCCAGCTAACCCTTCTCCCTCGTATCGCTCCACAACTACAAAACCATCACCAGCCACCACCCTCAGCCACCTCGCGAAGGCACCCTTGCCTTCGGGGCCTAGAGAGGCGAGTGAGGAGGGATTTCGAGCAAACCCTCGGCTAGAGAGAGAGAGAGAGATGGAACGAGAAAATAAGGACACTATGTTTAGTAGCAAAGCAATTTTGGAAAACAATTTCAGTAATCCTTCAGATATAGTCGGTCTACCACCTCTTCTTTGAGCGTGTATTCCCTCTGTCTCAGAATACTGGTCGTTTTAAGAATCAAATGTTGTCTCACAAAGCTTGACGTTTTAGCCCAACATGTCAGTCCCATCCTTACCCTATCCATGACATCAGTCATCTGTCTCATCATTGTTTTCCTCTCCTAAACTTTAGTCTCTATCACATCGAATGTTTAGACACATGCATGGAGTATTAAATATAGACTAAAAAAATTAACTAATTACACATATTGCGACTAATTTGTGAATTTATTAAGCCTAATTAGGCCATGATTTGACAACGTGGTGCTACCGTACACACATGTGCTAATGACGGATTAATTAGGTTTAATAAATTCGTCTCGTGGATTACTGAGGACTTATGTAATTTATTTTATTATTATTATTATCATCCGAGCATTCCCACATGATACCCTTATGTGACACCCGATATAACATTTCTAAACTTTAGTTCCTGGATTTAAACAAGGGCTTGCAGCAGGAGGCCATTTACTACACAGGTGCATGTGTGAATGTGAAAAGTTGATGTGATGTGTGCTTTGTTAAAAAAAAAACCTTCTGCTATGTGGTGGCAAGTGGTAATGTTGCTTCTCGACAGGATTTATCGAACATTTATGATTGTCTTCCAAAAAGCACAGCAGGATCATGATGTATATACAGGGTCATATCCATCTTATATTCTTATACCTTCAAGATTGATCTCGTCTATTCCTATAACGTTATGTATTGCGGGACGGAGGGAGTGTATAAGCAAAGCAACTTTAGGAAACAATTTCAATAATTTTTAATAGATCTTGTGCAGCTGGTTTCTTGGCTGTTGGCCAAATGTGGCTAAGTGATACAAAATTTGTAGTTGCTATTATTTTCTCCACGTACCAAATGAGGCTAAGGATTAGCTTGTGTTTTCAGGAGGCTACTTGGAAGGATCTGAAGTCCCTAGTTCCGAAGGTTGCGGTAATGATCAGCTGGCTGGTGCTTTGTTCCACCTAGACCATGGCCTGTCGTTTAAATTCGAAACATGTCGAGCTGAAGGGAGTTGCAACAAGACCAGCAAGATTGACATGCTGATTCGAGAGAACAAAAGAGAACCTTCCTATTCTTGAATGCAACAAATTGGAAGGACTAAGTGTCGGTCGAAGCTGAAGAGTTAATGTCAAAACGTTCATCCTTTGAATAAGCTATTAGTTTGGCTAAATAGGTTAATTTGGCTAAGCTAAGGCTCTCTTGTGAGTTGTGGGTGAGGCTTGACCGTGGTTCTTTTTCTTTGGGTATTAGTAGATCTAAATCGAGATTGCTCTGCTATTCTTATGCACCATCTGGATGTTGTAATAACGTTTTGTCTTGGTAAATGCAAAGGCTTCGTCCTAGAACTCTAAAAAAGAGGAAGCAACCTTTTCCCCGGCGGCGACCACAAAACGATGATGTTATCAATAAATCCGAGATAGTGGACGGTGCATGTGGTTGATTGCTAACATGTGCACTAAACCATATCAAAGCTCCATGCTCCAACTCTCTCGTGCCACATAAGCTACCTTTTGAAAATATAAACTAATTTTTACAGAATCCCATATCATTCATGTAAAATTACTGCATTTCAAAGGGTCGTATATATTTTTACGGGCTCGAGAAAGCCCATTAGTAACGATTTGGAGTCCGACCAATCGAGGTGTTCAGCTAATCAAGCACGCACGGTAGTTTGTAGAGCTCGATGCCAAAAATTAACATGTTTTGTTTCAGCTAATACTGTCATGCCATAGTTTGTAGAGCTCATGCTTAATTCAGTGGCCTGGGTCACTCGTTTTTGTTATGAGCCCTTTCACGCTCATGACTAATAATTTCTTGTCACCACTATGACAAGCTACATTTTGTGAAAAATAGTCATGACCTAACCAAACGTGCCGAAAATTTTAACTATAAAGAGTAAATCAAGAAAAGATATGTGTGGAGATGTGGTTGTTTAATTACCAATTGTCCAATTTTATGGATGATATAAAGAGTAGAATTACCAGGATCCCAGTTTTCAGTCACCCTCTGGAACAGAATTTTTCGTCCACGCTCTGACATCCCGCGAAAAGCACCGATATCCAACACGCAAAGGGGAAAAAAACTCGGAAATCAAACCCCTGATCCGATCGAGCTCGCACACTCGCCACCGTTTCCCAGTCCCATGGGGCTCCTCAGCTCCCTGCCGCCCCACCGCCGGGGGGCCTTATCGGGCGGCGGATGGCAGTGGTCGTTCCTCGACGTCGTCTGGGGGGTCTTCCTCATCGCCGTGGTCGTCTTCCTCGCGCTCGTCTTCACGCCGCGCCGCGGGGACCCCGTCCTAACCGCCGCCTCCGTCGCCCGCGCCGGCGGCAGCGGCGGCGCGGTGCCACCGTGCGCCGCCTCGGAGGTGGACCTCCTCCCCTGCGAGGACCCGCGCCGCAGCTCCCGCCTCAGCCGCGAGATGAACTACTACCGCGAGCGCCACTGCCCGGCTCGTGGCGAGGCGCTCGCGTGCCTTGTGCCGCCGCCCCGAGGCTACCGCGTTCCCGTGCCCTGGCCCGAGAGCCTCCACAAGGTGCGTGTTGTCGGCATTGGCCTTTGACACTCAGAACTTATCTCTTGTTAATTGCGTCACTCTTTGGAGGGTCGGATGCTAGCATAGAACTTGGTTTGATCTGAGGCATCTGTGCATTGTAGAGCCTGATTCGTTCAGCCAAGCTTAGACTGGCTTGGTTTTGTAGTTGTAGCTTCGTGCTAGTGTATGATTGACTTCTGCATCTAGCTGCCAGTAGTCAACGCTCATGGTTTTCTGATTCTATACATGTCAGAAATGGACTTCCTGGCATGCACTTATGAATTGTGGGTTCTGGATTATTTTTGTTTATTTTTAAGGTAGGATGTCGGAGGTGAAGTACGTGCTCTCAGTTGTGTGACAGTTTGTAGGAAAGCAAGTGATCAGACATTCGGTCTTAGTGTACCTGATAGCCTAGGTATCAGAACGTTTGGTATTGCGATGGTAATATGACCTTACACAGGGGGCACATAATCACTTAGGTAATTTCAAATCCGTCAATTAGTGGGTATTTTTGTTTCATGTGTTTATCCTAGGATGCAGATTAAATTTTCATCTGTTAGCTCTAAATTCTGTAAACTTTTTTATGCCTTATTTCAATAAATTTCTGTAGGGGTGCAAACCCCTCCAGTTTCCTCAAAAAAAAAAAAATCCATCTGTTCGATTGATATTTATTGTTCATGGTTATTGCTCTCTTTTTCAGATCTGGCATGACAACATGCCTTATGGTAAGATTGCTGAAAGAAAAGGTCATCAAGGGTGGATGAAGCATGAAGGTTCGTACTTCATTTTTCCTGGTGGCGGGACTATGTTCCCCGACGGAGCTGAACAATATATTGAAAAGCTTAGCCAGTATGTTCCACTGAAAACTGGTGTCGTCAGGACAGGTCTTGATATGGGATGCGGGGTAATATGTTAATCTAAACTTGGGAAGGCTCTCGGTTTTACTTTTAAGGAAATTCGGGCATAATGATCTTTTCCTCTCTGAAGGTTGCCAGCTTCGGTGGATTTTTGCTTAAGGAGAATATCATGACACTTTCATTTGCACCAAGAGATTCGCATAAGTCTCAAATACAATTTGCCTTGGAGAGAGGAATTCCAGCATTTCTTTTGATGTTGGGCACACGCCGTCTTCCTTTTCCAGCACAGTCCTTTGATTTTGTCCATTGTTCCCGGTGTTTGATACCTTTTACTGCCTATAGTAAGTAATTTCCTTCTCCATTCCATAAGCTGCATGGACATGTACACACACTTTTCTACCAGCCTCTTACTTGTAGACACTGGCAGATGGATCTTACTTGATTGAAGCTGACCGTCTACTTAGGCCTGGGGGCTATCTAATCATATCGGGCCCCCCTGTAAGATGGAAGAATCAGGAGAAGGAATGGGATGAACTTCAAGCAATGGCAGGAGCTTTGTGTTACAAGTTGATCACTGTAGATGGTAATACTGCCATTTGGAAAAAACCTGCTGAGGCTTCATGTCTTCCTAACCAAAATGGATTTGGCCTTGATCTGTGTAGCACCAATGATGATCCAGATGAAGCTTGGTAATTCTTTTTCTTGTGCCTATGAACTATATTTACAGCTTGAGGGTGCCAGAAAGTCCGTTGTGTACTTGTCAAATATGAGTTTTGATGCAGGTACTTCAAGTTGAATAAATGTGTCAGTAAATTTTCCGTGTCGGAAGAGATAGCTATAGGTTCCGTTCCCAGGTGGCCAGATAGGCTGTCTAAACCTTCTGCTAGGGCATCAGTTATCAACAATGGAGCAAGCTTGTTTGAAGCAGATAGTCAGAAGTGGGTTAGGAGAGTGTCATATTATAAAAAGTCACTTGGCGTGAAGCTTGGGAGCACACACATACGCAATGTCATGGACATGAATGCATTCTTTGGAGGATTCGCAGCCGCTATAGTGTCTGATCCTGTATGGGTTATGAATGTTGTTCCTGCTCAGAAGCCATTGACACTTGAAGTTATTTATGATAGGGGCCTTATTGGGGTTTATCATGACTGGTACGAATCTAACTCAGTACCAATGGCAATGCCACATTTAACTATAATTTTAACTTTTCTGTATTTTGTTGGACTTCATCTTGTTGATAATTTTATATACAATGTTGTTACTGTGTAGCTCCTTTTAACTCTTATGCAACGTATCCTGAATTTACTTGTGTATCTGATAAAATTGCATTCAACCAATCAAGTGTAATGCTAGGAAAACACTCAGTTTGTTGCAGCACTAAACGTAAACAGTATTTTTTAAAGTAGTATTTGGATATTTGGATATTTATATAGACCAGAGAGACACTATGTAGCTTTTATCCCTTACTTTCTACAAGCTCTGGTTGTTTCACAATTGATTATATTTAAATTCTTTGATCAACTATAAAATGCTCCAGATAAATGGACCGCTTGTCATTTTACGTTTATAGATTGAAGAAATATCCATGTAGTAGACCTATAGTTATGGTCCCAAATTGTACTGATTATATGTTTTTGTTCTCAGGTGTGAACCATTCTCAACATATCCCCGTACTTACGATCTCATTCATGCTGATGCAATTGACTCCTTGATAAGTGACCCGATTTCAGGCACTAGCAGGTACACCAGCTGACCAGCCATATACCTGGAGTTATTGTCCCATGTACTAGTATCCTCATATTGTTCTCGTTTCCTTTATTTCCCCTTGTATTAGTCTGATATGAGAAAACCTTATCTCATACTCCATCTCCATTAAGATGTTTGACATAAATACTTTATTGTTAAATTTTGCAATTTGTTTCACTTGATCTGCAACTGCAGAAATCCATAATAATTTATAAAAAAATCTTCATCATTAAAACTTGTCTCCCTATCTTTGCTTCACACTAGTGAGATAACAATCAAACTTCACCTGGGAAAGTGAGCTATTCCTGAAACCTGTATGTATTTCTAGGTTACTATGTTATGGTGAGCGGCCCAATTCCCGCTATACCTAGGCTATTATCTTGAAGTTGAAGACATGTCCACAATAAACTATCGGTGCATATGTTAATTTCTACTGCTCAATCAGTAAAAAAGGCCTTTGACATGTGAATCTCTCCCCAAACGTAAAGTAGCACAGTAACAACTTTGTGCTTGTTACATACCTTAAGACTTGTTTTCTGTTTAATTTTGAATTTGTAGATCTTGTATTTGTTTCCAATAGTTTCTGCAGCATGTGCTCCAGCTGCCAAAGTTTAGGTCCAGACAGTTCTATCATTTTTTTGTTTCAATGATCAGTGCAATATGTGTTCTACAGAAGCTTGAGTTTGGGTTGCCACTTGCCAGCCTCGTGATTTAACTTGAATTACTTCCTCCCATCAGAATATAAGCCCATCTAGGTTAGGTTTGTCTTGAGACAACACAAGATTGGTATTACTAGTTTCATTATAAAAAAATCTTTCATAATATATAATCGCTCCATTTAATAACAATATATATTTTGTTAGTCAAAGTACCATTTCGTAAACCGCATCAATGTCCTAACGGACTGATTGGAGGAAGTATTTTTTTAGGAAAGAAGTATCTGGTTAGAGTTGACTTAGGTGAACAATTAAAACACAGGAAACTGAAGTGCTTTGCGAGTTGTTGCTGTACTATTGTATTGACCTTCAGCATTCTTAATAATACAATTAACCTGTCTTGTTAGAATTCAAGTAAATGGATTAGCCAAGATGGTTATCATAGTTTTACCTTTACATGACTAATAACCTTACACATGGTTTTGTATGACTATTTCTTTTTCAGATGTGACCTGTTTGATGTCATGTTGGAGATGGACCGCATACTGCGCCCAGAAGGAACTGCCGTTATACGGGCCTCCCCAGATGTGGTAGACAAGGCATCACAGATTGCTCGGTCGATTCGGTGGAAAGCCCAGGTGCATGACAGTGAGCCAGAATCAGGTAGTACCGAGAAAATACTTGTGGCTACGAAAACATTTTGGAAGCTGCCACTAACATCATAATAGGCTAACGCTATATAGTTTGAACTTTGAACCCTTTTCACTTGCGCTCCCTTAATTTTGTGCTTTTGGGGGTGGGCTGAAGGGATATAGCAAGCTAATGGGATTGCTGAAATAGTTTAGTCAAGGTGGTCATTCTTTTCTTCATTTCTTTATAGCGAAAAGTTAGGTGTGGTGTAATTCTCGTTGTGGCTCCTTGATTCTGATTGATGTTGTTATATCCTATGAATTGAAGTGATCTGGTTTATTCCGTGAGTGGTTACAACACCCAATGATGAAGAGACCAGCCGATGTAGCTGTATAAATAAGAGAATGTTTCAATTCTTAAAAAAGAAAAGAGATTGTTTCGGTTCTGGTACGATTTGCGCCAACTGTGTCTGTTTCATTAAAAAAAACCCTGACCCATTCAGCAACGTGAAAGAAGTGGTTCAGCACCAAACAGATGTCATCTATTATTAGTCTGAACGGAGATAAAAAAAAATATTATTAGTCTGAACGTTGCAAATTGGACATTGGACAGGGCATAGTAGAACAAATCAATGAATAAACCCATAAAACAGAACATAGGCATAGTGGTTTTCAGAGTTTTTATCATATACAAGCAAAATTACCGATCAACTCCTCATTTGCAACCAATGGGGACATGGAAACTTCTATACAATGTAGACTTTAAAAATCAAACTTGAAAGCAATATATTGACAATGTCATCGAAGGTGAGGGGCACGTATCTATCTTGACATTGTCTCCCGTGGTGGGGACGCATGTTCTCTCTTCTGTACGACGCAAGCATGCTAACCCGTCACTAATCTCCGATCGGTTCAATTGTCACACTTCCAGCTTGACGTCGGCACGCAGGTGAGGTAGTGGCACCAGCCGCAGTGATCGTTGCCGTTCTCTCCTCTGAACACCATGACCAATCCAACAGCGAACCTGAGGCAAGGCATAACCAAATGTTAGGCTGACATGTTTCCGATTAGATTAGCAGCCCTTGCTTTTCAGTCAGACAAATGAGAATTTTAGTTTGTATAGGACCACGAATTATGCTTACCCTGCGGCCAGCAAGACCAGGGCAGCAAGCAGGAGGATGATCTGATATGCCTTGTACTTGGACTTGGTCTTGGCACCGAAGGGCTGCTCCAGCCACCCGAACTGAGGCTGGATCAGGAGCACGAAGCCGAGGAGGAAGCCTGTGGCGAAACCGCCGATGTGCGCGAAGTTGTCGACGTGCGGGAGTATCCCGATCGCCAGGTTGATGGCGGCGATGATGATCAGGTTCAACATGGCTGCAGACTGAGATGAATTCGGCGGATTAAGGCCAGAAGTCAGCACGACGGCGAGGCGATGCTCTAGAAGGTTAACGAATGACGCCTACTCTGTTGGTGTAGATGGACCAGTTGGTGATGAGCTCCGACAGCATCGCTCCCAGGAGCCCGAAGAGCGCGCCGGAGGCGCCCACGGAGACGCCCTTCCTGATGAAGAGGACGGAGAGCACGCTCCCGCCGAAGCCGGAGACGAGGTACACCAGCCCCACCTTCCCTGCAGGAGGACGAACGGCGACAAATGCCGGTCAGAAAACAGCGTCCGTGTGCGTTGCAGCGGAGGAGCCTGTCTGTCTCTGTTCTTTGCAGAGCGAGAGAGGGAGGCGTCAGGTGTTTGGGGGCTTACAGAATCCAAACTGCTGCTCCAGGCGGACGCCGATGAAAATGAGGCTGATCATGTTGGCGAGCAGGTGGATGAGGCCGGCGTGCAGCCAGGTGCAGGACTCCAGCCGCCACGCCTGGTTCCCTTGCACCACCTTGTACCAGTCGAGGGCTCCGTATCTCTGCAACCTGCGGCGAGACGACGACTTGGGAGATTAGAGATCAGATGAGACACGAGGCTCAGAGAGGAACGAGACGGATTCGCGCGGCGGGAGGTGGCGCTTGCTTCTTACGTGGCGGCCGTGGGGCCGAGGAGCGGGTTCTCCTTGAGCGGCTGGAAGGAGAAGCGGCGGAGGAAGCTGCGGCCGACGCAGTCGCCGCCGCTGCGCGGGCAGTTGTTGTAGAACATGACCACCACGAACATGGCCACGTTGGCGATCACCACTAGCGGCACCAGCCACGACCAGTGGTGCCGCTCGTGCGCCGCCGCGTGGTCGTAGTAGAACGGCGACGGCGGCATGTACGGCGCGTTGCTGGCCATGCTGTACCGCCCCGGCGGAGGCTTGATCCCCGTTGTCGCCGGCGCCGCCCTCGCCGGGGCACCCGCCTCCACGTCGGCGTTCGACATCGCTTGACCTCCACCAGCAGCAGCACCAACGGACGCGCTTCCGGACTGCCTGGTCTCCTCTCAGTGTCGGTGCAAATGGTTTGTTCGGCTCTTGGGAAGTTGGGGTGGAGATGGAGGAGGGTGGACGCGGAGATGACGACCAGGGTTTTAATCGGTCGGCTTTAGCGCATCGAATGGAATCAAATAATAAGGGGAATTCCATATGTGCCAATTAAAAAAAAAATCGTAATGCGCTGTCTATCTTTAAAAAAGTTTAGCGGTCTTTAGCGCCACTGCTCTAACTTTCGAATGGAATCAAATAATAAGGAGGAATTCCTTGTGTGCCGTAAAAAAGATCGCAATGCCCTGTGTGTCTCTGAAAAAGTTCAGCAGTTTTCACCGCCACTGCTCCAACTTTTTTGTGCCCTCCATGCCACTGCCGTCAGTTTGGGCTCTGACGCCATCAAACTGCAGGTGTGAAAAGTCGAAAATACCCTTAAGTCTAAATATGTCATTAATTTTTTTGAGCATCTTAACAACTTCAAATGAAAAAACTCAAAACTAGAAAGTTGTAGATCTCGTCGAGATCTATAATTTTCATATAAAAACTATATTCATTTAATTCCATAAAAAAATAATTTAATATGATTAATATATCTTAGAAAAATCATATTTTTTTATACGACTTTAATACCAGTCGAACAAGTCCCGCTTCCTACACATCTCTAGAAGCCCAGATCGTGCTCTTTTTCCCCCCTCTCCAACACGAACATGCTACAGCTTTGGATATCCCCTGGCCGTACTTGATCTTTTCCATAGCTTGGAATCTTGGATAAACTAGCTTTAAGGTTCAAAATAATAACTCCATGCTTAGCTACTTATGTCGTGTGCGGTGCAGGGTAGTTTTCGCCCACCCTATGCACGCCCTATTTTTGCTCGGATGCTTCCGTGGCATAGCTATACACACACATCGTTACGGTTGAAAGC